GAGTCCGCAGGTGACAGGCTGGGTGTGGGGAGGGGGGAGGTGGCAGGACGCCTCTGTTCTGCCGTAGACACACGATCGCAGTGTCTGTGGTGCACTTTGTGTTATGTGGCTTGAGCCAGTACCTGTAACTCTAGGGGATGTGGGCTTAGGGAAAAAAAAGTTTCTTTCCTGAAGGAACTTGTCTAGTAGGGGCGTGACAGACATTTAAAATCCAGCATCTCAGGAACAACGCACAGTATAGTTGTAAACAAGATAGTTTGGTATAAATTGTACATAAATGAATTAATATTGATGCAAAAATTAAACCCCCCCACACACCTGGTTTTCTAGCCACAGTGCTTTCGTTCCCTTCCAGGAGAGGACAGCGGGGTCTGCAACGCCATCACCCACCGCCCACCCCAAACTCTGTGCCACGCACACACTCCAGCTACATAAACCACATCCCACTGGGTCTGGAGTCCTGGTCCTTTTGAGCCCAGCTTGGTTCTGCTTCGGTGGGGGTGCACAAGAATGGGGTGCTCTCCCCACTGCTTTTGTGAATCCAGATGAAGAAACAGGAAACAAACCCCTCCCTTTGAAGACTCTCCCTTCTTTCCTTCACTGCCTCTCATCTTTTTTTTTTTCATTTTCTTTTTTTGAGGGTTGAGCAAACACACACTGTTACCATCTGAACAACTCCTCCCTCCAAACACACCAGTGGTTTTACACGTAATATACACCCCCCCCCCGCCCCAGGGAGAAGCCAGGGGAATGTGCCTCACCGGTTCACCAGCTGTGGTTGAGGCTGTTCGCGGAGGCTGGTAGGGCCTGATGAGAAACAGCTGGTACCTTCAGCGGTGACGATAAACAAGCTACTTTTGCTTCTGTCTTGAATGCCTTGTCCATTTAAAATGCTACAATACGCCTTCATGATTTTAAAACATCTTTCATTGCGGACTCGACACCATCCTTCACTACCAAACTTAGCATGGCAAAACTTTCAACCTGCAGCGTTCATCCACTCCGTCAGGTTACAGAGTCCTAGTTAATAAGCTACAGCAGGCTCTCTCCTTACACTGTCTTACTCATGTTTCAAAGGAAGCCGTGACTAAGATGAATTCAATAAAACGAAAACCTTCCATTTTTACAGCTGTTTGCCTTTTCATATCAGGCAGAACCTGATCCTTATCCTAAAGGCTATGGGATACCCTTTAAAACATACAGATGCCACTAAAGCCTGAAGTGCTGTGTGACATCTGTCTGCTAGTGTTTTCAAGGACTTGATAAATCTTGCTTCTCAGCACGGGTCCCCGTATATTCAGTGTTTTACAGCAGAGTGTTAATCAGTAACAAAACTGGAGGAGACTCCATCGCCAGCCCTAGGTTTTGCTCGTGCATCCTACATGCACCAGGAAAAAGCCCCCCTGCCCATCTCGAGGCACCCTTGCAGACTGCAAAAGGGAGAGAGAGAGGAGACACGCTCTTACCATTGTCGTTGCCTTGCTTGATTTCCTCCGCCGTCCGATCTATCAGCACGTACAAAGACCAGACCACGCAGGTGATGGCGATGACGTGGAACGTGACAGAGCAGAATATCTTCCTCCTCTCGCTCGTGGTCATCTGCAGCTTCTCCCACTGCAATCACAAAGGAACCACACAAAACTGAATCTCCATCTGGGAAACTGCTCGCATTCATACCCCAGGCATAGATAGATGGTGACTGGAGGGAAGATGTTAAAGAGTTAAAGAGCTGCAATTTTAGGTGACACCACGATATTCAAGTACGTCTTCATGTTTGAAAAGATCTAAAATCATAACCTGTGGTGTTATATAAAATATATATATTAAAAATTACTTAAAAATATATTAAAACGAAAACAAAAAGATTTTCCTATTCTCCAAGTGAATTCATCAGGTCATTTCAGGTTTGCAAGCCTGTAGTTGCCTTGTCTGTAACATGAAGGGGACAGTTTCAATTTCATACAGCTTTCAGAAAACATCTCCGCTCAGGTTTCTGCCCACCACTCCTCTGTGGTCCTAGGTTATAAACAGTGATGCACAGTTTCTTGGACTCAAACGTAACCCGATTCAGTGTTGCATTCATGAACGTGCAAATTTAACAAGAATTTGAATGGCTGAGTGATATCGGGGGAAGAGTCAACATCTGTTCACAGCTCCTCTAGAAGACGCATTTTATCCTCCAGGCGATGGGAGGGAAATCAGCTGAAGCCCCTTTTCAGAGCAGTCTCGCTTTTCTGTTGCCGCCACTGTCCCAGTCACCGTCCCTGAGTCACACCCCGCTGGCAGTTGAGGGCTGCTGCCGCAGTCTGCGAAAGGGCGAGGGCTGCGATCTTTATAATCGGAAGTCAGGGATTCTATGCGGAAACGTGCCCATTGTTTATTTGAAGAGATAGACTCTCCAACAAAGTTTTGATGCCTTGACAGCTGGATTTGTCACTTTATTCTCATGTTAGGGTTCGTGTCTATTTTTCTTGGCATATTTCTAAGGGAAAATCACATCCCTATGCTCTTACTTCAGTCACAAGTAATTATTTCAGTCATCCTTGATTCTTTACATTCTTACGGTCTTGCTAAAGCAAAATCCTTAGAGCTTCAGAAGACCCCCCTCCTCCCACCCCACCCCACACGTGCACCCCCCGGCACACGACTCATTTGATGACAAGAGAGCACACAGCACACAGCACACTTCAAGTCCTGGCTCTGCCACCAGCTCTGAGTCACAGTGAAGCCGCTCAGTCTCTCTGGACCCAGCGGCCTCGTCTCCGTAAGCAGCAGAGGCGTGGTGAGAGGTTTGGAGGAGGGTGCACTCCTCTCCTCCTTCGCTAACACACCAAGCCCACGAGGCTTGGCACTGTACCAGCTAAAGCCGCTTTCCAGCCTTCCTGGCAGGGATGGGCAGGGGCTGCATCCCCACGACAGGATGTGAGTGGCTATTTACTGGGATTGCCCCTCC